CTTCAACCGACCAGAGCCGCGCATTCCCAGTCCGGAGTGGTATTCTGGGGAACCAGACCTGTGCAGAGCGTTTTTAACAAAATGCTCAATTTTTTTCTCTCTCCAGCCTGTGACGTTTTCCTCTGAGGAGAGTAAGGTGGCACTCGTTATGACGCTGCTGTCTGGACGCGCGGCTCAGTGGGGAACAGCGGTGTGGCAGAATAGACACGCTTGCTGCTCCTCGTTCCAAGCACTCGAGCAAGAGATGAGGCGCGTGTTCGACCGCGCGGTTGCCGGACGGGAGGCGGCCCGCCATCTTGTCGATCTCCGTCAGAATAACAGCTCTGTTTCCGACTATTCCATCCAGTTTCGGACATTGGCCGCCGAGTGCAAATGGAACGAGGAGGCGCAGTGGGACCTTTTCCTGCATGGGCTGGCTGACCGTGTTCAGAAGGAAATTTACACACTGGAATTACCCAAGACTCTTGATGGACTGATTGAACTGGCAATCCGAGTCGATGCACGCCTACAACAGAGAGGGAATCGACAGTTCCAGACTCCGAGGGTGGAGGTCGCGGAGTTTCCCGGTTTCAGAGTAACGAACACGGTCAGTTCCTCGAACGATCCGGAGCCCATGCAGGTAGGTCGAGCTCGACTCTCCCGGGAGGAGAGAGAACACCGCCGCTCGAGGGGTCTGTGTCTTTACTGCGGGGAGGCCGGCCACTTCGTTTCCACCTGTCCTTTAAAAGGCCAAGCCCGGCGGTAAGACGGGGGCTACTGTCGGGCGGACTTTCCTTGACCAGACCCTCGAACGCCACCCTCCTCCCGGTGAGACTCCAGTGGGCAGATCATTCCTTCAACGGCCAGGCGCTGGTGGATTCAGGAGCGGAGGGAAACCTGATGGACTCGTCGTTGGCCCACAAGCTTCACCTCCCCATCACTGCCTTGGACCACCCTATCACCATCCACGCACTAAATGGACAGGAACTCCCGGGCATCACTCACATTACTGGGCTCGTCACACTCATCACTTCGGGTAACCACACTGAGAGGATTTCACTCTATCTCACTCGGTCACCTCACGCTCCCCTTGTCCTGGGTCATCCGTGGCTGGTGAGACACGGACCCCGGATAGAGTGGGGACAGAACTCTGTGTCCAGTTGGAGTGAGAAATGTTATGCCTCATGTCTTTTGTCTGCTGTTCCGTCTGTTTCTCGTTCTGTGTTGCAGGAGGAGCCAGTGAACCTGTCTAACGTGCCACCGGAGTATCTAGACCTGAAGGAAGTGTTCAGTAAGTCCCGGGCTGCTTCTCTTCCTCCGCATCGTCCTTACCACTGTGCTATAGATTTACTGCCAGGTACGTCTCCGCCTAAGGGCAAGTTATATTCGCTTTCTGTTCCAGAAAGGGAGGCTATGGAGAAATATATTTCTGATTCTCTAGCAACTAAGTTCATTCGCCCCTCCTCTTCTCCAGCGGGGGCGGGATTCTTTTTTGTAGGGAAGAAGGATGGTTCTCTGCGACCTTGTATTGATTACCGGGGGTTGAACAGCATCACGGTAAAGAATACGTATCCTTTGCCGTTGATGTCTTCAGCTTTCGAGAGGTTGCAGGGAGCATCAATTTTCACAAAACTGGATTTACGTAATGCATATCATTTGGTTCGCATCAGGAAGGGGGATGAGTGGAAGACCGCGTTCAACACCCCCAGGGGGCATTTTGAATATTTGGTTATGCCGTTTGGGCTTTCCAACTCCCCAGCGGTCTTCCAGGCACTCGTCAATGATGTGTTGAGAGACATGGTAGATCAGTTCATATATGTTTACCTGGATGACATATTGATTTTTTCTTCGTCTCTCCAGGAGCACGTTCAACACGTCAGACGAGTGCTTCAGAGGTTGCTAGAGAATGGGCTTTTTGTCAAGGCGGAGAAATGCGCGTTTCATGCACAGTCTGTTCCTTTTCTAGGGTACATCATCTCGTCTGAGGGAATACGAATGGATCCTGAGAAGGTTAAGGCTGTGGTGGAGTGGCCAAGTCCAGATTCCCGTAAGGCCCTACAGAGGTTTCTGGGGTTCGCCAACTTCTACCGGCGTTTTATTCGCAACTTCAGCCAACTAGCCGCGCCTCTGACTGCCTTGACCTCCCCCAGAACGGTGTTCAGGTGGTCAGACACAGCGGAGGCTGTGTTTGCTAAACTTAAGGGCCGCTTCGTTTCAGCCCCCATCCTTATAGCCCCTGATTCATCACGTCAGTTCGTGGTGGAGGTCGATGCGTCAGAGGTGGGGGTAGGAGCAGTGCTGTCCCAGCGTTCTCCCACAGACGACAAGATGCATCCCTGCGCGTTTTTTTCCCGCCGCTTATCGCCTGCCGAACGTAACTACGACATCGGTAACAGAGAGTTGTTGGCAGTCAAGTTAGCGTTGGAAGAATGGCGTCACTGGCTAGAGGGGTCGGGGGTACCTTTTATCGTCTGGACCGATCACAAGAACTTGGAATATATCAGAACTGCCAAAAGATTGAACTCCAGGCAGGCTCGGTGGGCACTTTTTTTCGGTCGTTTTGATTTTGTTCTCTCGTATCGCCCGGGTTCCAAGAACATCAAACCCGACTCTTTATCTCGTATTTTTGACCGTTCCAAACGCCCGTCTACTCCCGAGTGCATTTCACCCGAGACCCTATTTGTCTCCACACTCACATGGGAGGTCGAGTCGAAGGTCAAGTCGGCCTTAGAAGGGGTAACGCCTCCGCCCGGTTGCCCACCGAATCGCTTGTTTGTGCCGGAGGGATTACGGTCCGACGTTATCCAGTGGGGGCATTGTTCCAACGTGGCTTGTCATCCAGGAGTTAATCGTACTAGTTATTTAGTCAAGCAACGATTCTGGTGGCCACTTATGGCTCGTGACATCCACAGTTTTGTTTTGGCTTGCTCGATTTGTGCCATTGGTAAGACTTCCAATCGACCTCCAGATGGGTTACTTCAACCGCTGCCTGTCCCTTCGAGACCCTGGTCCCACATAGCACTAGATTTTATTACCGCCCTCCCACCCTCCCAAGGTAACACGGTCGTTTTAACCGTGGTGGACCGGTTCTCTAAGGCGGCTCATTTCATCCCCTTGCCCAAATTACCTTCAGCCAAGGAGACGGCGTTGACAGTCGTAGACCACGTCTTCCGCTTACATGGCCTCCCGGTGGACGTGGTCTCCGACAGGGGACCCCAGTTTGTGTCCAAATTTTGGCGTGAATTTTGTAGATTGCTGGGAGCGACTGTCAGTCTGTCCTCAGGGTTTCATCCCCAGAGCAATGGCCAAACCGAGAGAGCCAACCAAGATTTGGAAAGGGCGTTACGATGTTTGGTCTCCAAGAATCCTTCTTCCTGGAGTCAGCAACTCTCTATGTTGGAGTATGCGCACAATACGTTACCGGTGTCGTCAACGGGCCTATCTCCGTTTGAGTGTAGTGTAGGTTACCAGCCACCAATTTTTCCCAGTCTGGAATCCGAAGTCGCGGTTCCCTCCGCCCACGCCTTTATCCAGAGGTGTCAACGCACGTGGATCAGAGCCCGTGAGACTCTGCTCCAGGTGGGTGCACGCACCAAGGCTAAGGCCGATCGCCACCGGTCTAAACCTCCCGTATACGTCGTTGGTCAAAAAGTGTGGCTTTCAACCAGGAACATTCCGCTCCGCTCCGTTTCTAATAAACTTGCTCCCAAATTTATTGGCCCATTTACTGTCACCAAGATCATTAGTCCGGTGGCAGTCCGCCTCAACCTTCCTCCAGCGTACAGAAGGATTCATCCCGTTTTCCATGTATCTAAAATTAAACCTGTGTTTCATTCACACATTAATCCGCCTGCCCCGGTTCCCCCCCCGCCGCGACTCGTAGATGGGGAACCAACGTATTCGGTTAATCGTATACTGGATTCGAGACGGAGGGGACGCGGATTCCAGTATTTGGTGGACTGGGAGGGTTACGGTCCGGAGGAGAGAAGTTGGGTTCCTGCCAGGGACATCCTGGACCACTCCCTTATCTATGATTACAATCGACAGGTAAGGGTGTCTGGGAATGCCAGGCGGCATTCCTAGGAGGGGGGGGTACTGTCACGGTTCATGGATTCATTGACTCGCCCTCGCTAGGTGTGTGCGTGTTGTGTGAATGGGCGCGGCTCATCAGCACGGCTCGTTATCTCCGCTGATGAGCTGATCAGCGCCAGCTGTTTTGAATGAGAATGTCCTATATATTGTTTGTCATGTTGTCTGGTCTCTGTCAGATGGTTGTTGAGGTTCACGGATTACTCACCGTCCTTTCTCCTTGCCCAGTGTCTGTTCTCCTGTTGTTTGGACTCTGCCCTGTTCTGAGGAGCGTCAGCCGTATCCAGTCTGTTCCTGATCCGGTGTTTTCCGTCTCGTTCTGGGAAGCAGCAGCCGCTTCCAGAGACTGTTCCTGATCCGGTGTTTTCCGTCTCGTTCTGGGAAGCAGCAGCCGCTTCCAGAGACTGTTCCTGATCTGTGGTATCTGCCCTTTTCTGAGAGGATTCTGCTGTTTCCTGCCTTGCCGTCTGCCCACGGAGTCCTGTGTTACCGAGCCTGTGTTCTGTCGCCTGTCTGTCGTCCACTGCATTGTTTGCCACTACCTTGTGTTTAATAAACACCTGTATTTACTCGCGATTGAATCCACGACTGTTCTTTCGTGCCGTGACAAGAACCCGACAAGTGGATCATTGTAATGTGTGATTACAACCCCTTCACACACAGGCATTAAAAAAAGCATTCATTTTAGAAGAAAAGTTACATTTAGCACCTTTAAAGGCAAATTGAATTTTTGGAAATTCATTTTGAAAATACATTGAAACTGTAAATGTACAGTATATTTCCTACTGGCACAATAAAATTAAAGATTAATAACATGCCTAACCTTTGCACAATACTGTATATTGTTTAATGATGATTATATGCAGTATAGATTTCAGTTGTAAGTAAGGTCTGAGTTGTTGTATGTGTTATAGAGAGACAAAAAGACTCACCAAGAATCTTGCACCATTCATATTGCTTTTCTTCACCACCCTGTCACACCCCAGCAGTTTCATCTGAAAACACAAAAAACGTGTGATAATTGAAAACTGCTCTGTAGTCATGCTTCACACTTAAACTCAGTCATATCATTTTGAAAAACACTTTACTGACTAAACTATGAGTTTTTTTTTAATATACAGTTTTGAATTTTTACAATATACTTTTTGACATAACGATGCATTTGACAAAAAGATTGCAAGACAAGGCTATAAATTAGCTGAGGTTATCAGAAACAATACACAACCATCAAATAGACATGTTTGGAAAACCACATTGCGTGGCAATCTATCAGCCACACTTGAAGCACAGCAACTGAAGAACAGCAGTGCGACTAAAAAAAGATCTACAAAGACTACCCTTCCAAAGAGCATTCAGAGTCTGCTAGAAGAAAAAAACGCAAATAAAACCTGTCTACATGTTACATGCTAAACTTTATTAATGTTAACAACTGCTTTCAATATATTTCCCTTTAATTGAATGCATCTAGTCAGAAGAACAATAGGATGAACTCACTTTTTTGAGATAGTCAGCCAAGTTTCCAGAGTTCCAGAACATCACCTCTGATTTGGTTGGTAGACTTTCAAAACTCATTGTGATTGGAATGGTTGTTTTTCCAGTTTAGTATAAACTGACTGTTCTACAGTTAGCTATGATGATAGCAAGTAAAGTATACAGCTTTGATGAAGATTGCAAGGCGCTTGTCTTGCTTGTGGCTAGTTGGTCTGACTGAGTGTGATAATAATGTTGACGCAGAATAGACGCTCTGAGCTCTCTCTGTTTCCTGTAACTTTGTATAGAGGAAGTGCCTCATCACCAAAGATGTGAAATTCAAAGCTTACAGGTTTACAGAGCATGACTGTATTTGTACATAATTGCATGTTTGATTCCCTCTAATTTAAATGCATCAAAAACGTACTGTATTAATATTGTGCATGTTTAATTATGGGCAAAGTGGTTGCATCACAATAGTCCACTAATTATAGATCAGTCACATCAAGTTCTCACATGTTCTTAGCACAGCAAATAACTAGGCCATGACCGCAAATAAATATGCAGACAACATAAGATACAGAAAGAGCAATGCATTTGATCGTTGTAGATCAGCACATCCCCGGTGCCTATTCACCTGTTAAGCATTGTATTTTCCAAACAGAAACAGGAAACATCCCTTTTGGGAACAGAACAGCATGCAATCTAACACCAAGGTGAGATGTGAAGGCACTCATCAGTCAACCGCAGGACTCCAAGAATGAAGAAGCTTCTTCCCGAGGGTTCTTTGCATAGGGCTGCTAGCTTGTGTTTTAACCAGTGGCTCCTGACCGTAAATTTAGCTATAGGGCAGATTCTGGGTCTTGCCGCTAGTTTGTGTTAAACATTTTGTAAGCTTTATATTTGAATCGCTGAACACAGTCACAAATTTGGCAGAGGTCTAGCGTCCCTGCATTATTTACCCAGAGAATGGTGCTCTAATTTTGATTGACACCACATGACAAATGCATAGAATGCTATTTAGAATTGCCTTATTATAGTATTTAATGCCTCAGAATGTTGTTTTAGAATATTACAAGTTGTAGAGGAATTAAGGTGAGGAAAATAACCTCATGTTTATTCTTAGAACAAACATAAAAACAAACATAATTATATAGTCAATTCAAATGAGCACGTTTAAACTAAACGATTTATACTTTGATATGCTACTCCACAGAACAGACATGTCAGCCAGTGACTGACCTGATGCAATAGCTGAAGCGGATTGAAATCGTCTTGGTCTGTAGCGAGATTTATGTGAGGTAATCTGCCCAAATGCCTAAATTAAAGCGTGCTGTAGTTCCACCCTCAGCCACCCTCTGCCCCGCTATCATAATAGGCCTACATGCCTGCCGAAACCATACGCTAAATTTTGTTATATCCTACTCAATTTATGACTTAGGGCTTGTCCACACGAAGATGCGTTTAGATGTAAGTTATACGTAAAAAAATTATTATCGTATAGCGTTTCGTCCAGACGAATCTGGTGTTTTGGCCTGAAACTGCTATTTTTTTAAAACCGGGTCCCAGAATTGATATATCTTAAAACGACACCCTTGCGTTTTCGTGTGTACAGTCAAAGCCACCCAATCCGTATATTTTGTGAAACGATGATGTCATCACCCCATGTGTCGACCCCAGAGCCATAGAGAGAAAGAGTTGCGACACTCCCATAGACCGCCATAGGAACTTTGGAATGCGGAAGTAACGCGTGTCGTGGAGCAGCCAAGGGGGTAATCCACCAGCCGGAAACTGAAGTCTCCCCAGGCGCCGCCATTGGCTAGCAAGCCTTCACCTGCTGTTAGCATCCCATTGACTCCCATTCATTTTTGCGTCACTTTGACAGCGAATAACTTTACATCTGAGGCGTTTAAAGACTCCATTTGTCCATTGTTTATTTCTAAAGAAACACGACAATGTATAAAAGGCTCCATTACCATGTATCTTACGTTATGGCCCCGTAGAAGCTGTTTTTGTAAAAATAGGCTAACGATTGCGTCATAACACGCGACTCTCTGTCGCACAGTAGAGAAATTACCGTATAGACAGAAGTAGAAGCTCGCGCGCAATCGGGGGGACGTGGAGGCATAAAGTCAAGGGAGAAGCCCGTAGAGTGTCATAAAGTTGCTCCTGCTGCTAGCTCATGGACAGCTAATACTCACGAACTCCGGCTCTGCAAGATTCGGAAGGGAATGATTCAGATTCCTCTTGGCACAGCTACTAGAAGACGTACAAGTTGCTCACGTCACATCTACGTCGTCAAGCTCAGTTTGAGCCTGCGCAGTACGCTTGGCAATCAGGAAGTGAGTGCTTCTAATTGACTTCATTTTTCTCCGTTGAAGTCTATGGGGTCGCTGTGTCCATTTCTTTTACTGTCTATGGGAGCAGCCAATAGTTCCAAACACTGATAGTTTCTCCATTGAACCCCATTCATTTTCAGTGCTTCCGAAGTACGCTCGCTGGTAAATTAATGAAATTACTGTATTTTTTTACTTTTACACACATTAGCCGACCTCTCGTGAATCTAGTCTGTAGTTATATTTTATGTAGCCAGTTTTAGTAAATGTTTATTGGAAGATAATAGGTTAATTGCAGCTATAGCTTTCGTGACCAACACTTCACTATCGTTAGCTAACTTACGGTAACTTGTGTATATAATATATAATATTTTTAATAATATTTTATATGTATGTATATATATATATATATATATATATATAGCCTATATATAATATTATATATACATACACACACACAATTCATTTATTTAAATGGGTTAGGGTTATGCATATATGTGCTTATATGTATTTAGGAACATAGTTAATTCACTCATTAACTATCTCTCTGGTTTAATTTTATGAAGAATATTTTTCGTTTGAATATTTACCGAACATCGCTGTATTTAGTCGTTGCTTTCTACGTTATGGGAGCAGTCTATTTCCCTCCTAAATCACTCATTTGTACATGCACAGCGTAATTATTTATATTTTATGTTGGTTGGCAACGGACCGCCACTGCAGACCTCTTTGCGTGATCACGAAGGTAGGCTAATGGCTGAATCGGAATTTATAAGCAAGATCACGGGAATCAATAGCCTAATACAACCCAGTTATGCTAAAATAAATATCACGAGACGTCCATCATCAGACGAATGACATGGAAAAGTTAAGTTAGAGCCGCCAAAGCCAGTGCTATTACTACCCATGCGAACATGAACACTAAGCGTTTCCCTCCAATTATTATAGCGTAAAACTTATCTAAGTTGTCACCCTGCCTCTCCAAATGCAAAACTGACATTAACAAAATGCAATAACAGCTGAAAAAGTACTTGGGTGTGTGTTTTATTTTATATTTACCGTTTAATAATGCAATCGCTGCTGTCTGTCCATAGAAGAACATGACAGCCCGCATATGTTTTGGAACTATTGGGGCTTACATGAACCACGTGACAGCCGTCGCGGCGACATCAAAGCGTGTCGCAACTCTTTCTCTCTATGGCTCTGGTCGACCCTACTCAGACACCGCTACGTCACGTAACAGCAACAACAACTGCGGACTACATGCTTGTGTTCGTGCTGTAGAAGCTAATGCGCCTCTTTTATTTCTTATTTACTTGCAATGTATTTTTATTTTATGTCTTTATTTTACTGTTGTCTGATTAAGACATTTCATATTTTACACCAGGCCATTTATAGTTGTTTAAATTGTTCAATAAAGTTCTTGGTAAAAAAATAAATAAATAAAAAAGAAGTAGAAAAAGCTACTGAGCCTATTTTTATTGTATACAGGTTTTGTACTCATGGTTTATGTGAATGCCTCAAGTCTTCTCCGTTTTTAGTGTATCTCTGTCGCAGAATTACAGCGCCACATGCTGATCTGGCATGTATACTACATCGTTTTGAGTCGGTTTCAGTGAGTAGGGGGAGGCTGCAGACCTGGAGCCGGCAGATATACGCCCCTGGCAGTTTTACGCCCCGGCAGTTCTACGACCCTGTTGTTCCTGATACGTCCAGTAGAGGGATATACTGCGAAATAACATCATTAAATCGACGCTTAATAACCCGTCCATAGACTTGACAATTTTGTGTTTTTTGTTAATTTAAATATAAACGTTATAGTGTAGATCTGCACGGATTAAATTATCTGTTTAACAAAAAAACAAGGGGGGTAAACGGACATCAAAAGAGATTGAATTAGGTTACACAAATCAATGCAATATTACATTTTGTCAATATAAAAACATGTAAGGTTCTTTACAACAGACTCAATGATATTATTTGTTTTATAAACCTTTGAGTTTAAAGGTTCTGACATTTTCTTAAAGGAAGAAAAAAATTAACTTTATATCAGAGGAGAATATTCTAGAATCAGGATTACTTTGAATGGTTCTGTCTTTATGAAGATGAAACTTGCCCAGAAGACAAAGTAATAATACCGTATAATCAAGTTTAACATCGTTAGAATTAAAATCTGACAAAAATAGATTCTGTCGTTTGTATGTTAAATAATCTGCTAAAGTTATTGTTTTTTAGCAATGATGCAACATTTATTATTTATAAACGATTAGCTCGATAGGTAGATATCAATAGATATCAATTAGGTAGATATCAATTCATTTATATATCAATGGATGGGTCTATAATGTATTTTGACAGGTTTCTGTTCTATCTGGCTTAAACTTAGCTAACCACGTGTAGGTTTAGCTTCCCCTATCTTCTCTACTCAATTTAAAATTAATTTGAATTTGAATTTTCTTTTGTTGCCTGTCTTTAGCTTGGCCTCTTCTGGTAAGACTCTGTTTACGCATTAAAACATACTCCACATGGTAGAGCAATATTACAGTAGATAATGGAAATATGTGATTTTTTTTTACAGTCTATGGTGTGAACACACAAAAGACACATTTATAATAGGTATGTAAATCTCTCTCTCTCTCTCTCTAAGTAAAGAGTTAAACTGCACACTCACTCAAATATGTTAAAACATTAAAAACTTTCCCCATATGGTTTGAATGTAGATTCTGGTTTGAGTTGTTTCTTATAAATGAGATGATCTAATTATCTCATTTACATCTTAATATACATTTTTTCTTAAAATAGCTTACTGATCTGGACTCAAATGTAGGGTATGTGCACTTAATGTGGGTTTTTATCATACTCTGTCTTTACCAAGTTCTCTTTAACTTGGATCTCATAAAGGTGTGTTTGCTTTAGCTACTTAAGGAAAATACACACACACACACACACACAGGGACAAGGTCAAATTCACCATGGATGTCCTTTTTTAACTTTTTTAATGTTTCATTTTTTAATGTTTCATCAGTGAGCAGGAGCAGTTAAAGAAAAAAAAACAGTTAAAGAAGAGTGGCAAACCATAGGGGAGTCATCATAATTCATAAATGGTGTTAATAAATATTTTTTTGTGAACAACAATATTGTCTATATCTTCTAAATGGCCCATGGAATTTTAGAAAAGGGATAAATTGTGTTTGTCTTCATAAAATGCTGTGTAGGACACTGTTTTGTAGCTGTATGATGACCAATAGAATAGTACAGCAGATATTTCATCGAGGATCCATATTATTACACGGTACTGCATGTCTAATGGGCTAAATATAGTTAATATCTAAATGTGACTTTATATAAATTCACAAAAACATATTTCACTCAGTCTCCTGTATATAAAAACCTACGGTGAATTGGCCTATAACTGCAGTAGGTCATAGCATCACCTGTCATAACACATAGTTGATCCAACTATGTGTATTTTTAATTTTTCAATTCACAAAAACAAATAGTCTTCTGTAGGTTGAGTGAAGAGAGTGAAGCCCAACTGAATATCTACAGAAAATTTAATCCGTGGAGATCTACACTGTAACGTTTATATTTAAATTAACAAAAAAACACAAAATTGTCAAGTCTATGGACGGGTTATTAATGTGTAAGCGTCGATTTAATTATGTTATTTCGCAGTATATCCCTCTACTGGACGCATCAGGAACAACAGGGTCCTAAAACTGCCGGGGTGTAAAACTGCCGCCTCCAGGTCTGCAGCCTCCTCATATAGGTTTCAGTGGTTTCGTGTGTGCGCAGATATTTCTTGAGATGGCGCTGTGTTTACGGAATTTTTTTTTTAGAATGAGGGGAAAAAATATTGGATAGGGAAAGCTCTGGCTTCGTGTGGATGTTGCCTTAATATAGTTTAAAAAATCTTTTTTGCAGAATGGAGAACACAATTACAATTTATTACTGATTTAGTTTATATAGAGGTCTATGTTTTGGATGAATATTTTGGTGAGGCTCTGCCCCATCTGCCCTTACTGGCAAGCCACGGCTAGTTTTTTTAACAAATAAAAAAAAAAAAAACAGAAGGAACTTTCATTGCAGTATGTTTTAGGAATTAAATGGTCATTTATGGTCAACCGTTTAGTCGTTAGTGATAAATGAATTCTTAATAGGATCTTATATTATATATATATATAAAAAAAAATCTAGGTAGGCCTACTTGCTTGGTTTAACAATGTAATGCGCTTTACTATTTTCCCACACTTACATAGCCTAACTTTAAACATAAGGAAGAGGTGGATATTTAAAAAAAAACTCGAGACCCAAAAGATCTCAGTAGGAGGCACTAGGATTTAACCAAATAATGATATCAGTGATATTGACCTGTCATCGAAAAGAAAACCAATAAACTAGTGCCAGATACCTTTAATGAATGACAAATAAGTCAGGGAGTCAGTTCTTAGCTTGATGGAGAGTGTGGCAGTTCTTCTGATGCAACTCTGCATTCCTGGCCTTTGTCATGCGCAAGTGGAATCCTTAAGCTAAAAGGAAATAGATCTTTTGTGGCGTGGAACAGACTGAGATCACTGTTAGTGCTGGGGTTTTGAAGTGGGTAAACCAAAGGGCTACACTGAGATTACAACCTGATTCTATCCATATGAAAGGTCAGTAAAATAAGAGATAAGGAGGGGATGGGAATGGGGGTCATGGCTGAGATGACAACAACATGGTATGTATTTGAGGGGATGGCCACTTTGTTCCTTATTCATCAGAGCTCAGCAGGGTGGCCTGGGAAAGAACATAGCATCCTGAAAGGCAAATAGCCAGTCTGTGGTGGGTGAATGGGTTGTTTCTGTTAATTAGTGAAAAAAATACAGAGAAATGTTACTTAAAATACTCTCTGTTTTTATTTATTCATTTATTTGAAGCAAAGTGAGCTATTTAATTTAAATTAAATTATTTATATATTAAATAATTGAAGTCAAATATTTTTTTTATCTTTCAACATTGAAGTAGCCAAGGGAGGCAAATTAACTCACTGTGACATACTATATTCTGAGATTCCCACCCCCTGTCCTCTGAGTCAAGACCCCCACTTGAGCCAATATCCCATCATTCATCAGGCCAGACAGTTTGGCAGATTTATGGCATGTCCCACTGAGTAAACCGACTATGCATTGAGGAATAAGTGAGAAATCTGCTGATAAACTATATAAAAACAAATGTCATGATTAGGCCATAACATCAAATGGGGTAAAACATAATCACAAATCACTTTGTCGACACACGAAGTAAGGCTGGTTTTACAATTTAAATGTGTTCTCAACCTCGTAACGTGACTAATAATGGAATTTAGACCCTTCCTTTGATTTATTTACATGCATCGCAGTGACTTCCACAGGTGTGATAATGTAGCCTACACCAACACAGCGGCAAAGAGGATTGACATGCCAAACACCTTCCAGCAGTGGCATGTTTCCTACGGGCTTTGTCTACATTTTTGTCACCGGGGCAGCATAGTGGCCAACTGTCCGCATATCAAAGTGCGCCAAAGTCTAGGCAAGGGAGGCGCCTATAGGGCGATGTGCCAAGTGTGACACAAAGTTAATCCCTTCAAGAGTATTCATTAAATAAACGCCATATACTGTGGTACTAATTGACATCTCATAATTTCAAGGGTTTTCTCTGACAGCGCGTGTCTGGGATAAAGCTCTCGACTCACCATAATTGATCATACCATCATTACTTTTATAAAAGATGTAATCTTTAATTACAATTAAAAAAAGTTTGTTTTACAGACACTGCAAGGGGGAAAATCTTTGTTGTAAAGCGTCTGTCAGGCTTTCACCGACCGCATTTTGATTCAAGCATATCACAGGAAACGTGATTATATTCATGAGCTCTACAGCCAATAAGACACTAGTACGAGAGACTTCCTGAGGGAAGCCTTAAGTCCAGAGAAGTTGTCTTTGACAAGTTTATATTAAATTGATAAAACCCGTGACTTCATTATTGTTAGTCTTTTTTGTAAATAATTTATTGCACGCATTGTTATTGTGTAGCCTATGTTCATAACTATCTGCATTTCTTACCTCATCGCTAAATCATGTTGCGTATTTTCAATTCCATAAGGTCAATTGCAGTGCAGGTTATATTCATTTAAACTGTATTTTCACATTTGGACATCCCTGTTTGTTAGATAGCCACATAAATATCAACTTGGTCATCATGGACATTAAGAACGAATTCAAACCACAAGACATTTCAGTTACTTTGTTTTATTATAATACCTTAATATATAATTGAGTATTTACAGAAATAAAAATATATTAAGGGCGATAAAGTGCAGGTAGGTGTTCTCCTAAGAAAATAGTTTAGGAGGTGTTTTATTTTGGTCCTCGAGGTCTGCGTCTTTGGTGACCGTGGCTTCCGTGTCTCCGGGCGCAAACGTGTTTGACAGTGACCTGAGAGCAGTTCTCGCACTTTACTGTGCAGCACCAGTGGAACTTGCAGTTGCAGCTGCTCACTATCTCTGTGCGCCTCTCCTCCACCCGCAGACCGCACTCATGGCACAGTCTGCGGCAGCTTCGCCTTTCCCACTGACTAAGACTTTCTCCATGCTGCAGGCACTCCCGATCCTCTGTGCCAGAAAGCCCGAGGCTCTGGTTCTTGGCGCAATAATCCGGCGAATCCTCCAGATATATGAGCTCTGTCCGGGCGATGGAGCCGAAAGCGTCTGCCATGGCCACGCGGTTGTCCGCGGTGTTGCCCGCGCGCATTCGTCTCTTGTCCATTTCGAGCTTCTGGGCCTGGTCGTGCTTCACTTTCAGGTAATTGCCAATCTCACGGAAATCAGAAAGCTGCATCCAACACGTTTGCATTGAGCAACTTTCTGACATGCCATGGCACCTACAGATCCTCTTCATGGTCGCCTTTACAGCCTAGAATACAAATTGGCCTATTGTTATTTTACAAATCTTAAAAGTCTGTTGCCTATTCTTTATACAAATAAATAGGCCTGTTTGTAAAAAAAAAAAATGTATTAATAATCAAAAAACGTTTCAGTAACCACAATAGATGACAAAGCAGTCCTGAACAGAATAGTATTTTCTTGAGGTATAGGCTAGCAACAGCTGCTTAATCGCTAAATATAGCCAGGGATCATCGCCTTTATAGATTTATGGAACACAAATGTAGTATCAGAAAAATGTGAGTTTTGTTTTTGTATGGCAAGTGTCTTTAAAACAGTTAACAGCTATCCACTAGGGCGCCTATAAACTATAATTAAAATCGATTTGCATAAGACAACCCACGAATTGTGTAGCCTAATGTTATGGCCACAATTATTTGAGGATCGTCTTGCACAGAAGGTTAGTTGTTTGAGGTTCGTGTTTTTGCGCCCCTATAGGCTAGTGCAGGGATGGGCAACTTCGGTCCTGGAGGGCCACTGTCCTACAGAGTTTAGCTTCAGCCCTAATCAAACACACCTGAACAAGCCAATCAAGGTCTTCAGGATTACTAGAAAGTTGCAGGCAGGTGATTTTTTTCAGGGTTGGAGCTAAACTCTGTAGGACAGTGGCCCTCCAGGACCGACGTTGCCCATCCCTGGGCTAGTGTATGACATTATTTTTAATAATTGGTTTTTAGAATATTTTCGTCCCTGTTCAGGTAGCCATCAGGTGTTTTTTAATCTGACAGTAGGCCTAGGCCTAATTTATAAAAACTTTGACATATGAAAAGTATTTCTCAACTTACCAAACGTCCAGCTTCGTTATTATGAAGATTAACTGCAGCTCGAGAGTCTTGTCCAGTCTCAAGCGCATCCACGTATTGTTTAGAAATTCTCTCTCCAAAATCTACGTTGTCACTACATCCTCCCCAAAGCCAGCCACGACCCCCTGAAATAGAGTTCATCCCATTGGGTAAATATACGTCTTGACTTTTATTTGAATGCAAATAGGCTACTTCACTTTTATTGCATTGTTCATAAAAAAACGAAGTTCATGAAGGTTATGAATTTGTTTATGATTGTATGATTGTTCTTACCGAGTTTGCCGTTCCTCGAACGGTCACATCCGCAGTCGTCCAAATCTCCGAGACTGCAGTTTCTGGTTAAAGTATACATAACCCCGGCTGCGCTTATTGCATGGACAAATGACGTCTCTCTCGTTGCTACAGAAGTAGAGAGTATAAAAATGTCATTTATTTTTCAGACTTTGTAAAAAAAAAAAAAAAAAAGGAGATCAATTCATATTTATGCACATATCTTACCACTTCTAAAGCCTTTAATTGTGGAAAGTTGTAGCGCGCTGTCCGGGCAGTTCCACCTGTCCCAAGCAAATTGATGTTTGCATTCATGTATCCCACTCTGAGCACCGACCCGCACACTACTTGCATAGGTAAAATACGCCTAAAAGGAAAATATGGGAAAGATATTGAAGATTTTTTTTTTATGATAGCCTATCGTGGTCATTTTTTATTTCGTAAAAAAAAAACGATTTTTAAGGGGTCGTTTTAAATGGCTTTTCAAAGCTAAGAATAGGCTACAAATTAGGCTATACCTTTGGTCCAGTCATCAGCAAATTGTTCATTTCCCTATGGAAGGAAAAAGCAAAACAAAATACATATGTTAACAAGAGCAGTTATGTTTATGTTACATTAACTGATAATAATTCACTGCATCCTCACCATGTGTGCCCAGGGAGAGTTTTGTCGCAAATTAACAATAAAAACACCCAGAGGAAAATGTAAGCCATTATCTTAGATCCACACTGATAAAGCAGGCGATGTGCTGATTTGAAAAAGTGATGTAGCCTACTGTCGTGTATTTTATAGGCTACTCCTCTCAATGGGGGCCTGGGCAAAATACCTTTTGTTATAGGGTTCCTGTCAAGCTATTGGTCCACAGTCACCAGCCAGGTCAAGGAAACGCCTTCAATGAACTTCAAAGGATATCAATACAGGACAGATCATTGTGTCTCCAGGCCGCGTCGTTGGGGCTGATACATAATTAAAGTGATTGGGAGTGATTTTACTTTGTTTATTCACCAATAAACATTTGAACAAAACTGCGCAATGAAATCGACCACTAGGAGACTGTAATTTTGTTTTAAATATTTAATTTGCTTCCCACGACAAAATAAGTCCATTTAATATATATCTATATATATAAACAGAATGTAATAGTTTAAAAATAATAATGTGATAGTTAAAAAAAATAATTGCCTTAAATAAGTTCCATAAAAACAACACTCCAAGCCCCTTGTGAAACATTACACTGTCAAGTGAGAGAGAGAGAGAGAGAGAGAGAGATGAAAGAGACGTGCAAATATTCAAAACGATCATATTTGTATAAGTAACTAAACCTGTGATCTAATGTCGACAACGAAAAGTGCAAATAATGAACATATCTACGTGAAATTAGAATTTAGTAAGCTATGTGATCAATTGACAGTGGGAAGTTCTGGGAACGAGGAAGCCCTTGTGTTTGACATTAGCAATTGGAATAATACAGGCTGCAGTAAGTGAAAAAGCAGCATATCTCGTCTCATATAAAATATATTTACATTGGAAATATACAACTTAATATATTTGAAAAGAGGATAACTTCATCTCCTATTACGTTGTCTTTTGCGTGAATTGTTGTGCGGCCGACGGTTTCTGTGTCTTTTTGCGCAAAAATATTTGGTCACAGTCTGAGTGCATGTTTCGCATTTGACTGTGCAACACCAGTGAAATTTACAGTTACAGCTGCTCACAGTCTCTATCCTCCTCTCTTCTACTTTCAGACCACATTCGTGGCAGAGCCGCCTGCAGCTTCTCTTCTCCCACTGTGAAAGATTCTTCCCGCTTTGTAGGCATTCCCTGCCTTCTGTTCCATGTAGTCCCAGGCTGAGGTTTTTCACGCAGTAGTCTGGAGAATCTTCCATATAAATGAGTTCTGTGCGCGCAACGATGCTGAACGTGTCCGCGATTGGGCCACGATTATCCGCGCTGTTACCTGCCCTCATCCGAATTTTGTCCATCTCCAGCTTCTGTGCTTGACCATGCTTGATTTTCAGATAGGTGCCGATATCTCTGAAGTCAGCCAGCTGCATCCAACATGTCTGAATACTGCAGCTTCCAGATACACCATGACACTTGCATGTCCTTTTGAGTGTTGCTCTGACGGCCTGCAATACATGTAGTTTCACGTTAGCCATATGCACCCGCATGCTGCAATAAATAAAGTTTTTCTTTTGACTAAAGAAAGATTAATAAGAGAATAAAACTAATGCTACTCACGAGTCGACCAGCCTCGTTGTTGTGCAGGTTGACTGCAGCGCGAGAGTCGTGACCATTTTCAAGCGCGTCCACAAATTGTTTGGCGATTCTTTCTCCAAAGTCAACATTATCACTGCAGCCTCCCCAAACCCAACCACGACCACCTTTGAAAAAAAAGAGAATAGGAAAGTCTGCTGTTATTGGTCTGAAAGCTTTGATTAAATTTGAATTACACATAAGCATAGTTAATAAAATAAACGAAAATGTCTTACCAGTTTTTCCTATTTTGGATTCGTCACAGCCACAGTTATCGAAGTCCCCCATGCTGCAGTTCTTTGTCAAAGTGTACATAACTCCAGCAGCACTTATGGCATGCACAAAAGCGGTCTCTCTGGTCGCTAAAATATATATATATATATATATATATATATATATATATATATTAGAACATGTTACGTCAAATTCAATACATTTTAAAGGAAAGTTAATTTGGAACATACATTTTTAAGTGAAATAAATAAATAAACCATGATGTATCCAATCTAAATTTGTCAGTAGCGCTTACCACTCCGCAGGCCGTTATGTGTAGATAACTGCAGTGCGCTTTCCGGACACTTCCACCTGTCCCATGCGAACTGATGTTTGCACTCTTCAATACCACTCTGAGCCCCTGCCTGCACACTGCTGGTGTATGTGAGGTAAGCCTGGTGGATTTAAAAGATGAGCATTAATTAAACACTGTACGTTCAGACATTTTACTTTAAGACATTTTACTAGGGCCTACATAATAAAATATATAAAGTATAAATGAAATATCGCTGTACAAGTGCCAGACGTAAAAACCTAAATTACCTTTGGTCCTGTCATCAGGAAGTTATTCACCGACCTAGAAAAGGAGAAAAAAAAAAAAAGCATATTTATAGATAACAGTGACAAAAAACAACTGAAGTATGTTAAGATATCCGAAATGTTGTGTAAAAAGTCTGTACCATGCTGTTGTTGACAGTACGTGACAGCACATAGACATCACCAACGACGCAAAAATCTGGCAAGGGTTCATTGCTGCGTGAGCGAAGTCGATGCTCCCTTCTTGTGGAGATGCAAAGCACAAACACTGAGATGGATACACAGGAAGACACAGAAAACAAGTGACTCGGTGCTTGAACGAGCAAGGCATTTATACCTGTCGCCAACTTTGAGTGACAGGGATCTCCAACCTTTGACAATTCGCTGTGAAAAGACGTCGAGCTCGTCACTGGAATTGTACGGCCTTAACTGCACTTCAAAGCATTAACACTTTTTCACTAAGCCATTCAGCCTATCTTTTATTAAGCTGTAGTTCACGACCAGGGTTGTTTCAAATTGTTCCTAGACAACCCATTTATTTATTTACTCTGTTATTTTTGTAACTTTAATGTGCTACCATTTGTGTATTTATCAGACACTTTGAATTGAACTGTCCAAAGCCATCAAACTATTCAGCTAATATCCATTCATTAGACTTGTCTATTGAAGGTGTTGTGTGTATTCATGAATACGCTGGTTGTTGATTCCGTGTTGGACATATCACTGCATGCATGTTTGCATCAAAATAGCTCTTACATATTCCTTCTAAGAGTTTTTTTAGTTTATAAATAATCATATATATTCTATAAAATATATAATAGGCCATACACAATATAATCATACATATTTAACATTTTATTTTTTTGTTGAATTAGTTTAGCTTCTTGACTTTGTTTATTTATTCGAGACTTGACTTGTCACGTTTTGGGAAAGTTTTTCAGCTGGAAATGACACTGAAATGTAAGGGGCTGCTCTACATTGTATAGGACGAGTCATAAAATCATTCGGCTCCGTTCGCTAAGGGCCATGCAAATAACATGTAACACGTCTACGCCTCTGACACTCTAGTGTTAATAGAAGACCAGCTGATCCCCTGGGAACAGCTCTGGTGTGAAAAATGTCTGGAAACAGTCCGATACATGTAGGCCTATAGAGTGCAACATGTCATAACATTAGTCTGCAAAATAAAACTAATAATAATTATGAATGCATTTATTAATTGATTTAGTCATTCGATTTTTATGTCGAAAGGGATATACATTTAAATTAAGTTGTCAATTCACGTTTAAAAAAAAAAAAAAAAAACTATTGCCATATGCTTAAAGTAGCTAAATAATTTTTCTCCTTATGGGAGACAAATCATTGTAATGATAGAGCATCCATTTTCAATATTTAGTGCTGATGAGTTTACACAATTCAATCATGTGTCGTGTAAGACAAATTCAAACCCGATAAGCTAATTCACACCACGTTATTATTTGTCACTTGGGGATCAACAGCTGAGCAATGTACACAAAAGGATAATCATGAGAACGATTATATTTCATCATTTTACTTTCGATGACTTTTGCGATTAATTAATACGCTATGTGGAGATGTGATTTTTTTTTACACAGCCTACTGTTGCTCGTGGAAGATTAATTGTTGAAACCACGTATTGACATCTTCGAATCAAATCGTTAGCCACTCAAAAATCCCTTTTCAAAACAGCGTTTATTTGATGGTCGGATAATGGTTTAACCAATGCTGCTGGTTGGAAGACAATGGAGGGACGCGCAAGTGAGGATAATCCCCACTAATTGGACATCGGCATCATCAAGTCTACACGGTGCCTGAAACCCAAATTTCCACACCTACTTGTTACAAAACAAACCCGTATTAAACAATGATCTGATACACTCAGACCTAACCTAAACGGAGCCATTGTGCCATAAACGCTCTGTCGCAGACATCTCAGGATGGTTTTATGGAGTAACAAACTGAGTGCAATTACACAACGATACTTCCACGCTTTAAATCACACGGCTAACAACTACGGGCAACGAAGTTGCTAATAATCAGAAAGTAATCATTAAAATGACTAGAAGAGCATCACCACAGCGTCTACTCCCCATATCAGATTGATACGAGGGAACATGGCTCACCTTGCACAGATCCATTTTGACTAGCCGCTCACAGAAGCTCAGGTGCAGTTCATTAGCCTGTCAGTCACTGACCGTGTTAAGGCGTTTCGCCTTGTTTTGTGATTAGGGAGGAAATAAGGATGCCTGAGATTATAGGCTTATAAAAAATAAAACTTTAGTTTAAAACACCTCAAATTCTTAGGTGTTTGTGTAAAAAAATTGTAGCCTATAGGTTTTTTTTTTACAAAAAAATTGCCTAATAAAGGTTTTCCCATTTGACCTGAACAAAATGTGCCTTTTCATAAAATGGTCAAAAAAAAAATAGCCTATATATATAGGCTATATATATATATATATATATATATATTAATGATCTTGCGGTTTTCTTGTCACACGATAACAAAATGCTTCCTGCAATAAACAACACATTTTAAAACAATAACTTTTCTGCAAAATATTTATACCAACGTTTTCTTTTTCAATCAGACTTTTAATGAGGCGATTTTTTTAACGTTTACTTGGCTAGATGAGTGAATGAGTGTCAGCGTCACATAGCTAGCTACCTTCTTATAAACCTTTCACAAAAGGGAGTTTATTAGATGTTTGCGTAAGCAACATACTTTAACCTGTAGCTTTTTATTGGAGTTTTACGTCTTTATCAGTTTACTTTATTAGTTTTTGTTATGTTAGATTTGGAAAGAGATAAGTTGCCATAAAAGACGATAAGTGTTAAAGAAGCGCTGTGGATGGGTGGCAGGAACAGTGACGCCAGCGCAGCCGCGCTTCTCACATCTCAATCAGATTTCAGTTCAAACGAGATAGGCGCGTCCTCTAGCGCCTCATCAGCAGGTGTTAATTGTAAAATCAAGAATAGCCCAGTAAAATACATGTAGTATCGGATAATCAGCGATGTTCGAGGTTTGTGTGTAGCCGCATTGGCCTGACGTGAAGAAGAACTTTTCTCAACACTTTAACAAATTTTGGATTTGATAATTCTTGGTTGGATTAAGAGGTCCCATAATGTCGATCATATCGTATATGTTAATGATTTTAAATCGGTTTCTAAAGCATAAAGACGTGGGCAATAATAACCCTAAGGTGTGACATATAATCAGGATATTATTAATCGTAGCGCCCCTGCTGGCTGCACCACAAAACATGGTTAATTTTACAATTGTATTATACACCTTTGGTTGTCCTTTTATTAGCGTCATTATGTTATGTTATATCTTACAAGTACCAAGTTATGGCTTTCAAGCACATACCTCTACCTTCTTATTTAATGGCTGCTGGTGACATTTGAGTTTTTAATGTTACATTAGCCTACATGCCGTGACCTGTACAATAGTCATGCTGCAAGAGCATTAATGGTATTGTGTCCATGCACAGTGGATCTGAATGTTTTCAAAGCAGAAAAGATATAGTGAATGGAAGACATGCAGTCAGTTCCTGCAGGGCGTGGAAATTCAGCTACAGGTATCAATTCACAATTTATATAAGGTAGATTTTTAACCAAAAGTTTTAATTCTGGACGAGGATGTTTTTCCATGAATGTCAGGTCGGACAGATTTTTGAAGGTTTTTTTTTGTGATTGTGATATATTTTAAGTCAAGAGATGTATTCTTCTCAAACCTGTTCTCATTGTGACCACTTACCTCATATAGTGTGACAACATGCCCCAGAGCTATTTGACTACCGTTCAAATGTCTTGTCTCTGTGATAAAAATAATAATATATATTTATATATATATAAATAAATTATAGACTGCTTTTATTCAGCGAGGATGCATTCAATTGATCAAAAGTGACAGTAGGCCTATAGACAGTTTCAAAACAATTTGTCAAATAAATGCTGTTCTTTTTAAACTTTCTATTCATCATTTCTATTTTTAATCCTAAAAAAATGTATCCAGGTTTCCACCTCAATATTAAGCAGCACAATAGTGTGCAACATTGATAATAATAATAATACATGTACTTGAGCAGCAAATCAGCATATTGGAATTATTTCTGAAGGATCACGTGACACTAGAGACTGGAGTAAATTCAGCTTCGCCTTGACAGGAATTTCTGTTTTTACTGTATTTTTGATGAAAAAATTACTTCTTTGAAAACATATTACCACCCTCCAAAGGTGTGTGTGGTCTTGGTAAACCCTACGTTGTGGGACATGGTAATACCAGAAATCCTTGTCCTTGTGGGGACATTCTGGTCCCCATGAGGAAAACAACTTAGGCTATAAAAACATATAAAAAAAAATTTCTTTCAGTTTTTTGTGGGTTTATGTTTAGGGGATATACAGTTTGTACAGTATACAAATCATTATGTCTAAAGTCCCTATAAAACATGCAAACCCAAAATTAGCATTAGCATGAATAATCACCAAAAGAAAAATTAATTTAAGAAGAGGAGTCATATTTGGCATTTTATTTGTTTTACATTTCATTTTGTCTTTATTTCATGAAGAAACCCTTAAAAAAAGCACTAAACAGAATTTGGTAAAATAACTATTTTAAACCCTGTCTCAGGTCACCCCCCTTCATCACACTCCCATTTATAGGCCCCAGTGACTCCAATTGCCATGGTAACCATGGATCACATGGGGCAATAGCACCCTTTAAACAGAAATATGAATTGTAATATCTGCCATGTCAGAAGAACATGTTTTGTGCTTGTCTTCTCGTTGTCTCTTGGGTCATGGGGTGGCGTCTCCTTTCCTCTCCTGCTCGATAGCTGAAAACAGAGAAAGATTAAATGTAAATAATGTTTATTAATGCTTTGGCAGGATATAAAGCTTCATAAGAGAGACAGATATGTGTGTGAAGGACGATCGTGTCAGGGAGCGTGGCATTATTGCAAATAAGATGCTTATTCACATGGGAAATTCTGCAAGCAGGCTTAGGTCTGCACTGCAATGCTGATGGAGGACTTTGAACTGACAGCATCTGCTGACATAAGAAGCTGAAAAAAGAGGCTGTGTGGTGAGTAGTGTGAGAGTGCAAGAATAATAGAGATGGATCTGGGGATACAGGGATGGAAGAGAAACAAATGGCTGAAACAAAATTATAAAGAGAGAAGATAGACAGAACACTGCAGATGGGGGGAAGAGAGACCTACACCACACCCAAACTGAGTGGACACACCGTATGCTGTAATGTAACAGACACTCACTCTCTTTGGTGGGTAAAGGGTTCTTCTCTTTTGTCTCAGTCTTCTTCAGCTTGGTTTTGTCAAACCTGGCGATTTCCGTGAGGTCTGGCTTGTCAGACATGTTTGCTGTCAGTAGAGATGACAGATGTGACTTCAAGAGCATTGACCTTGTTTTTGTCGTTTCATACAGGAAAATTCACACGTTATTTCGGCCATTTCACAGACAGTCTTTAAATGTATTTGATTAAAATACTGATAAATATTACTGATATGTTATTTTAGTCCAAATGTGTTAAACCATCAAATCACTACATTTCAATGTTGTTAGGTAGTCAGCCTGATGCTGTGGGAAGAAATGTCCCCATTCTCTCTAGACATGTGATGGTAGCATGTAGCACACGTGTGTCCCAGCATGCGTGTATCATGTTCAGATGCTAACCGCCCACCTAGCCAACTCTCCATGCATCTTAATATGTCTCTACCAGCACATTTCCCTCTTTAACTTCACAGAATGTCTATTTCCTTTATTAATTCTAAGTCTTTGTTCTTTTCTACATTGCTTCATTCACGTTATGGATGACTACACCATTTTAGCATGCAGGCAGCCTTTGCAGTGTCTGCAGTGTCTACCTCACTGGATAAATAGCCATTCATTTTCCTATATCCCTCTGTCTCTCCTCACTCTCTGGCTGCCGCACCTATAGCCAATATGAATTTGCCATCTTGTCGCAGTCATCATGCCTTAAACCCACAAGCACATGCAGCGAGAGGAGGATGGCTATTGTTATGATGGATAAAGGACTTACCGCAGGGAACAAAGTGTCTGTATCCACTGGCTGGTAGAAAGAGAGGAGGACGGCGTGTCTGCTGAGATTACCCAGACTGCGTCTGCTGGTGTCTGTATATCCGATAGGGCGTGGAATTTTGAGGAGAGAGAGAGAGAGAAGGAGGGAGAGAGGGAGGATGCTGGAGAGGTTTAGTCAGCCTACCCCTTCCATCCCATCAAGTTAATATTCATGCTCCGTAGAGAACAGACATGCAATGCCTTTACGTGTTGGAATGATGAATTAATAAAGATGGAATATGACGAGCAGAGTGGGCACAAGGGCATGTGGTTTTGGGATTGCAGGGTTCGGTCACAGCAGTGTGGCAGCTGTCTGGTTGGGGGCTGGGATGTCATACTGCCTTAGACGCTGAGTCATGTCTCATTTTAACATGTGCCCCCCGCTGAGCCAAGGGGAAGCACCATTTAACTCTTCTATAATTATATCTATCGTTTTGAATATACGGTAGCTGTATGTGAAATCCTGGAAATTAACCATCGAAATCAAGTTAAATGTTGCAATATTATTGGGTATATTGTATATTGTATAGTAGTATATGCATGCCTCTGAGGCTAAAATGACTGCATTTACTTAGAAATTAGCTTGGTTTGATTACTTAGTCATACTTGGTGATTTCAACTACTTAGTCATAAGGTCTCATAGTGTGACATCATTTCACATTTCAGTTGGACTAGTCAGCAGACTTCAAAAAGCACAAAGTACATAATGTTGAGCACAACAGTTGTTCTGCGTAATATTTTTGTGGAAATATATATGCATTCAAAATAATAATAATAATTGATTCTTGAGCAGCAAATCAGCATTTTAGGAGGATTTCTAAAGGATCATGTGATACTGAAGACTCGAATAATGATGCTGAACATTCTTTCACACTTTCACATTTGCTCATTTATTTTCTTTACACCAATTCTCTTGTCCTTGTCTGTTCCCATTTGTCAATTGATTTGCTTAATTTCTTTAACCCTTATGTCCTGTAGAGATCCGCTGCACTTCCTCATTGGTTGGGGTCACAGGGACCTTAATGATTAAAGTGTGTCAGTAGTAATTTATTATGAAATAAATGTTTTTTCCTGGTAAATATATTTTGCCTTTTATCCTGAGATTATTAATCACTAAGCCCTCGATTTTCTATAATGTACACTCTTAAGAAAAATGGTTCTTAACAGTACCAAATTATGGTTCTTCGGCTTGTAACAATAGCAGAACCCTTTTTGGTGCTAAATAGAACCCTTTTTATGAGGTTCCATAAAGAACCATTTATTTATATTTATATATATATCTATAAATTACAGGAACCTTTTCATAAGTTCACAGACAGATATGTCTGTCTGTGTGTCTGTCTGTTATTCGCATATCGCTCGAACCGTTAGTCCGATGGATTTTAAACTTGACAGGTGTCTTGCTACGGGCACGAGTAAGTGCAGTGCCGAGTTTGACGTTGTTTGGATTAAAAATGCAAAAGATATCGGTAAATATATAGGTAAAAGAAGCACAAATTTAAGTTGTGGTTTAAAAATAAACATTCTGACATTAGAGAGGGTTGTGGTTTAAAAATAAACATTCTTAATATTTAAGAGTAAAGTGCAGTGCCAAGTTTGACGTTGTTTGAACTAAAAATGCAAAAGATATTGGTAAAAGAAGCACACATTGGCTTTTGCCGCTCTAGCCGCTGGCCACTCTTGCTCACACTGCACACTGAGTGGCCACTCCCCCTCTCACACTGCACACTGAGTGGCTACTCCCCCTCTCACACTGCACACTGAGTGGCCACTCCCCCTCTCACACTGCACACTGAGTGGCCACTCCCCCTCTCACACTGCACACTGAGTGGCTACTCCCCTTCCACACTGCACACTGAGTGGCCACTCCCCCTCTCACACTGCACACTGAGTGGCCACTCCCCCTCTCACACTGCACACTGAGTGGCCACTCCCCCTCTCACACTGCACACTGAGTGGCTACTCCCCTTCCACACTGCACACTGAGTGGCTACTCCCCCTCCACACTGCACACTGAGTGGCCACTCCCCCTCTCACACTGCACACTGAGTGGCCACTCCCCCTCTCACACTGCACACTGAGTGGCCACTCCCCCTCTCACACTGCACACTGAGTGGCTACTCCCCCTCTCACACTGCACACTGAGTGGCTACTCCCCCTCCAAACTGCACACTGAGTGGCCACTCCCCCTCTCACACTGCACACTGAGTGGCCACTCCCCCTCTCACACTGCACACTGAGTGGCCACTCTCCCTCTCACACTGCACACTGAGTGGCCACTCCCCCTCTCACACTGCACACTGAGTGGCCACTCCCCCTCTCACACTGCACACTGAGTGGCCACTCCCCCTCTCACACTGCACACTGAGTGGCCACTCCCCCTCTCACACTGCACACTGAGTGGCCACTCCCCCTCTCACACTGCACACTGAGTGGCTACTCCCCTTCCACACTGCACACTGAGTGGCTACTCCCCCTCCACACTGCACACTGAGTGGCCACTCCCCCTCTCACACTGCACACTGAGTGGCCACTCCCCCTCTCACACTGCACACTGAGTGGCCACTCCCCCTCTCACACTGCACACTGAGTGGCTACTCCCCCTCCAAACTGCACACTGAGTGGCCACTCCCCCTCTCACACTGCACACTGAGTGGCCACTCCCCCTCTCACACTGCACACTGAGTGGCCACTCCCCCTCTCACACTGCACACTGAGTGGCCACTCCCCCTCTCACACTGCACACTGAGTGGCCACTCCCCCTCTCACACTGCACACTGAGTGGCCACTCCCCCTCTCACACTGCACACTGAGTGGCCACTCCCCCTCCACACTGCACACTGAGTGGCCACTCCCCCTCTCACACTGCACACTGAGTGGCCACTCCCCCTCTCACACTGCACACTGAGTGGCCACTCCCCCTCTCACACTGCACACTGAGTGGCTACTCCCCCTCTCACACTGCACACTGAGTGGCTACTCCCCCTCCAAACTGCACACTGAGTGGCCACTCCCCCTCTCACACTGCACACTGAGTGGCCACTCCCCCTCTCACACTGCACACTGAGTGGCCACTCCCCCTCTCACACTGCACACTGAGTGGCCACTCCCCCTCTCACACTGCACACTGAGTGGCCACTCCCCCTCTCACACTGCACACTGAGTGGCCACTCCCCCTCTCACACTGCACACTGATTGGCCACTCCCCAAAATAAACATTCTGACATCATAGGGTTGTGGTTTAAAAATATCTAAATATTATATTTTATTCACGGCCATCATTTGTAGTTGCCTATTCACAAGCTGTTTGCTCAAGCGTAGCGTTTTCTCTGAGTTAACTGTGTAGCTGCTCCAGCCAAGGTCTGAACCTCCCCTGAATCGTCGCGCTTATTCATTTGTGGATGTTAACTGAATCTGTAAGTCAGCTACACGGTTTAATTCTGAATATTATATTTTATTCTGGTGTGCTTAACGTTATCGTTTTCTCAGAGTTTAGGCTCCTGTGTAATAGTAGCCTAGGCTATTCAGCAACTACAAACCAACAATTACTAGTAAAAACACACAAAAACAGATTTTGCACAGGCATTGCACTAGTGCTTTAAAGTGCTATACCTTAATGGTGTTATAAATAACCCTTTCAATTATATTTATTTTCATTAATATTAATATATTACTATCTTCATATTATTAATATTACTATTATTACTATTTTTTTATAAATTATTTATTAATATTGTTTTTTAGCCCTCTTTCTGCCTGGTCTTATATCTTGTTGTCTCTATTCATGAAGGCCTGTGTGTGTGTGTGTGTGTGTGTGTGTAGTTGGTTTTCAAATCTGAATGATAACATAAACTCTCTATGAAGTGTCCTCAGAGAAAATCCAAATAATCCACACATTGTAGTTGTCAATGAACTTTCTAAAAACATTCTGATTCTGGAAGTGGGTTGTTGTTTTGATGCTTACATGGACTTGTGTTTTTCTGAGAAAATGTTAAAATACCAGTCATTAACTAATGCTTTAGCAGTATGTGGTTACAGCACAAAACTGATCATCCTAATTTTTGGTAGTCTAGGACATGTGCACAGATTATACGTCAGATAGACCAGGTTAAAATCATAAAAATGTCCCTAAATAAAAATCTTCAGGCATTTGAGTAAAAGTTGGCAAATAGACTATTCTAGGGGTATTTTTTATGCTGAATCCATTTTTGCTGTTTGCCAAGCTGTATCTCTTATGTGAAACTCATTGGAGTGTAAAATCCAAGATGACCGCCTCATACACTCAGGGCTGGACTGGGACAAAAAATCGGCCCGGGCATTTTGGCCCAGACTGGCCCACTATATAACACAACGGAACTTTGCACGCCCTTGAATATGTATACCAACTCCTATTAAAACCACTAATGCCATAAGTGAATATGAGTGAGTAAGAGTTAACCGATTAAATAACTACTAAGTTGAACTATACTCCACAGTGTTGAATCCTAAAGAAAGCTATAAGCTGGGATAGTAATACCGGTTTTTCCCAGAGTATTTTGGGAAATCTGTGGTGAGTGCACCTCTGTCCCTCTAGGGGGGTTCGGGGGTATGCTCCCCCGTAAGAAAATTTTGTGCTTTTTAATGTTAAATTCATCAATCTGGTGCACTTTGAGAGTTGAAAATAAAGAGCTCCAACCCATATTCAGTGTGCAAATTGAACAAAGAAAAACTCAAAACTCTTTTAGTTGTGATATAGTGTCTGTCTACATTACACTACTACATAATAATTATATAGTTATAATATTAATCCCATGGCAGTAATAGCCATATGTTGTAAAACAAATGCACTGAAAAATAAAAGCAACTTAAAAGCAACATAATTAGTTTCGTACTAATTTCTATACAGAGATAAGCACATTATCTTTTATTTTGACGGAAACGGCATCGAGCTTTTATTTTTGAAGAAAAACATGGTTTACAAACTCGTCTCATTACAATTCTAATAAAATGCGTAATCGTCAAATATGCAGATGTGTAAATAATGCGTAACTGGGTAGCGGGTTCCTACATAGCCTGAGTGTTGTGACAGTAGCCTAGTTCTGCTTACCACAGTTCTCTGCACTCACTTATTTCTCTCCTTTATCCTCCTCACTATCCTCATCAGACACTTGAAGGGCCTTTGAAGTTTCTTTTTTCACGCTATTTCACTGCACATTCCTTGCGTTTCTTCTCCATCGCTCTGACTATTTTGACAGATACACACTGCTCGCTCACTCAGAGCTCAAAGGG